GCATTCATGTTGAGTCTTGAGTAGCACTGCTTGTAGACATCCTTGTTGAACTGATTGATCTTGAGTCTTACTTGAGGACAAGCAAAAGTTTAAGTTAGGGTTGTTGATGAGTCTTAGATTTCGACTCATTTAGGGCTTTGTTTTCATAGTTTTATTGTCCTCAATGCCTAATTTAAGCCCTAAAATGATGTTAAAGTGTTGATTTGCAGCAATAAAGGCAAGGATATTACTAAGCAAAAAAGGAGAAAAAAAAGTTGAAGAAGTGGAAGAAAGGCAATCCTGGGGATGGCCAAGACTACTTAGCGAACCGCCAAGTGGTTCCTTTGCTCGCCCAATGTTCTAGTGTGAAAGCCTTGGGAAAAATCCAACTTGGCGATACAAATGGACAGTCGGCGAACCGCCGAATGGATCGGCGACTCAGTTCTTGATCGGCTAAAGTTACAGAAGCCAGAGGTTGAAAAGACAATGCAAGACGATGATGGATAGGGACATTTGGTGCGTCACCGACCTGGTCGGTGACGCTCAACTTACTCCACCGATTTATTCTAAAAAAGAAAATTCTGAAGAGTATAAATACATAATTTCAGAAGTTGTAAAAAGGTTCCGAAATTCCCAGTTTCTAAACAAGTGTTCTGAGAGCTTTTACCTTGAGTTCTTAATTTCTAACACTAGTTTTGGAGTTTTTGAGTAGAGTTTTCAAGTAAGTTTTGAATTTTAGTTGAATTCAAGCATTGTAAAGGCTTGGAAATCAATACCCAGTTTATGGATAACATAATTGGTAGTTGTTTCTTCCTTTTTATGATGTGGGTAAAACCCCCTTTTTTGGGGGTGTGATCATGTGATGATTTGTTCTAATTAGCTTATGGATATTGTTTTTTACTGATTTAAATATTGTTTTAAAGTGGGTTTGATTGATAGCGTTGTATTAACTCATGAATCATAGTTGCAAATGCAATTCTAACTTAGTGCTCTAGTCTTGCTTGAGAAAAAGATTCTAGAACTAAGATTATTAATTGATGATTGTAGTGATTGGGTTGTAGTGGGTTTATCTCGAGAGAGTGAATCTTAATTCGATCCTACCTATCTAGCTCGAGAGAGTAGATAAATTGAGGTATTCAACTGTTTATAGTGGCATGCTTGTCGAGGTTCAAGAGAACTCGCTTGAATCGTACTACTTGTTCGAGGGAAAGCTATTGCATCTATAGTCTAGCCTACCCACTAAGATTCAACAATTGTTAGTAAATTAGAATTACCCATATAAAGAAATTAGTCTTTAATCGATCACATCCCCGAAAATCCCTCTCCACTTATCTACTCCCCTATTTTCTTAATTGGTGTAGTTGTCAATTGAGACTCCTAAACCCCCCATCTAACATTCGTTTTCAAACCATTAATTTATTTTGTTTTGTTTTGATAATGTCTACCTCTATAACCGATTAGAGCACAACCTTTACTTCTGAATCGAATTCCATTCAGTATCACTCCCAGTGGGATCGACCCCAACTCTTTGTTGGGTTTATACTAGATTATTATTGCCTACACCTAGTATTGGATGAGGTGTAGTTGAGCGTTAGCAAGAGTCAGGTTCTTTGTTAGAGGGTTGGGGTTGCAACTGCATATTGAGTCGCAGTCTATGGTTTCAATGAGCTGCTCTTTTTTTGATGTAGTGGACCATGACCGCATGCTCGAGTAGATCCATCATGAGGCCCACGGGGGCAGCGACAAGAGGGCCAGACAGGATGACAACTTTAGTGGGGCCCATCATAGCCCTAGGGATACTCTGGACTGAGTTCATCAGAGGTTCCAGCCGAGTCAGCCTAGTCGCCCGTTTCAGGCATCTTTGCAATTATCAGAGGGTGACCAACACAATCAGCGTGGTTATAGTGTCAGTCCGAGTCAGGGGCGAGGTGGGTTTCAGACAAATTCATCAGGTCGGGATGGTCGACCTCCAGTAGCGGGCTTATTATCAGAGAGTTGCTTCACATGTGAGGAGCTTGTGCATTGGTCAAAAGAGTGCCCTAGCTCAAGATCAGCCTTACCATCCCCTCAGGCACCTAGACTGGTAGTATTAATAGCCCCTCCGATTAGAGGAAGAGGTCAACATCATGGTGTTTGGGGAGATCCCCAGGGAGTTAAGGTAGGTGGCAAAGTGGTTGCACGTTGTAGTGGCACACAAGTCTATTTCTATGCAGTTTTAGCTAGAGGAGAGGCCAAGGCGTCAGATGATGTATTCACAAGTACGGTTCCCTTATTCCATTAGTCCGGTTTAGCCTTATTTGATCCTGGTTCTACTTATTCGTATGTGTCTGCTTATTATGTACCTCAGTTGGGTGTGAGTCCTGAGCCTTTATTGGTACTATTGTATGTTTCGACCCTAGTAGGGGATTCTTTAGTAGTGGATTAGGTTTGTAGATCATGAGTGGTGACTATTCGGGGGTAGGATACCCAAACGAATCTTATTGTGCTTAGCATGATAAATTTTGATTTGATCTTGGGCATGGATTAGTTATCCCCTCACCGAGCGGTCTTGGATTTTTATGCCAAGACTATTACTTTAGCCATGCATGGTATTCCGACAGTGGTGTGGCAGGGTTCTCGTAGCCGCAAACCGATTGGGGTGATTTCTTATGTACATGCTCGAAAGCTAGTGGCTGGTGGGTGTTTGGGATACTTGGATTATGTAAGAGATGTTAATAGGGAGGGCCTTATTGTTGGCTCTATGCCTATGGTCCAAGAGTTCGCAGAAGTGTTTCCTGCCGACATTCATGGCCTACCTCTGGAGCGGGATATTGATTTTGCCATTGATTTGGATTTGGGTACTCATCCTATTTCTATCCCAGTGTTCCGTATGGACCCCAGAGAGCTCAAGGAGTTTAGTGTTAATCTTTAGGATCTCTTGGGTAAGGGATTCATTCGGCCTAGTGTATCACCATGGGGTGCCCTAGTCTTGTTTGTGAAGAAGAAGAACCATACTATGCATATGTGTACTGATTACAAGCAGTTGAATAAGGTGATCGTGAAGAACCGTTATCATATGCCTCGTATTTATGATCTATTCAACCAACTACGGGGAGCCGCATTGTTTTCTGAGATTGAATTGAGATCCAGCTATAACCTTTTGAGGATTAGAGCAGCGGACATCCCTAAGACAACATTTAGGACTCGTTATGGCCTTTATAAGTTCCTAGTGATGTCTTTTGGGTTGACTAATGCCCCTGCAACCCTCATGGATTTGATGACTTGTGTATTCAGGCCTTATCAGGATTCCATTGTCATCGTCTTCATTGATGATATCTTGGTAAACTTGGGGATCCATAGTGAGCATGAGCAACATTTGAGGATAGTGCTCCAGACTTTGATAGATCCTTGGTTGTATGTTAAGTTCTCAAAGTGCGAGTTTTGGCTTGAGTCCATAGCATTATTGGGGCACGTGGTGTCCAAGGATGACATTAGGGTGGATCCGACGAAGATTGAGGCTATTCGTGGTTGGGCCAGGCCCACTTCTGTGACTGAGATTCTGAGTTTCGTCGGATTGGCAGGAATTTTGTCGAGGGTTTCTCTACTATAGTAGCATTATTGACTCGGTTGACTCATGAAGATATTCCATTTGCATAGTCGGAGGAATGGGAGATGAGCTTTATGAGGCTTAAGGAGGTTCTTACCACCACTCCTATATTGACTCTTCCAGTTGAGGGCAAGGGTTTCACGGTATATTGTGACGCATCCGATGTTGGTTTAGGTTGTGTGTTGATGCAGCAAAGCTGGGTCATTGCTTACGAGTTGAGGCAACTTAAGCTGCATGAGCGCAACTACCCCACTCATGAATTGGAGTTGGTGGCGGTAGTTTTCGTGCTTAAGATCTGGAGGCATTACCTATCTGGAGTTCATTGTGAGATCTAAACTGATCACAAGAGCCTTCAGTACATTATGACCTAGATAGATCTCAATTCGAGGTAGCGCCATTGGATTGAGCTCCTGAAGGACTATGACCTCTCTATTCTTTGTCATCGAGGCAAGGCGAATGTAGTAGCGGACACCTTGAGCCGGAATGTGGGAAGTATGGGTAGTCCAACCTTTCTTTCTTTTTTGGAGTGACCTTTGGCTATGGACATTCAGTACTTAGCCAATCAGATGATCAGGCTTAATGTTTCAGATTCTAGTCGAGTGTTAGCTTATGTAGGAGTTCAGTCATCCCTGCTTGATCAACTCCACAATCGTCAGTTCGAGGATGAGTCTCTTGTGGCACATAAAGATATAGTCTTGGCAAGCGATGTAGGGCAAACTACTTTATGTTCAGACAGAGTTTTGAGGTTTGTCGGGTAGTTGTGTGCTTTGAGAGTTGGGGATTTGATTCAGCTGACCCTTAGCGAGGCCCGTGATTCTAGGTATTCTATCCATCCGGACCCCGCTAAGATGTATCGTGACTTAAGGCAGCATTACTGATGGAGCGGTATGAGGAGGGACATCTCAGACTATGCATCTCGTTGCTTGTGTTGCCAACAGGAGAAGGCCGAGAATTTGAGCCTGGTGGTGAGTTGCAGAGATTTCCCATTCCTGAGTAGAAGTGGGAGCGCATCACCATGGATTTCGTAGTTAGTTTACCTCGGACTTCTAGAGGTGTTGACATCATTTGGGTCATCGTGGATCGATTGACCAAGTCAACACACTTTCTTCCCATTCATATTTCCTTTAGTTCTGAGAGGTTACCTCGTTTCTACATTCGAGAGGTAGTCCGTCTTCATGGTGTTTCACTTTCTATCATTTCAGACTAGGGTTCAAAGTTCACCTCCAGCTTTTGGAGGGTATTTCAGGAGAAGTTGGGAACCCGTGTAGATCTTATTACAACATTTCACACGCAGACTGACGGCCAGTCGGAGCGTACTATTTAGGTTTTTGAGGATATGTTACGGGCCTGTGTTATGGACTTAGGAGGTCAGTAGGACCAATTCTTGCCTTTAGTGTAATTTGCGTACAACAACAACTACTATTCTAGCATTTAGATGGCCCCGTTTGAGGCCTTGTACGATTGGCGTTGTCGCACTCCAGTTAGTTGGTTTGAGTCTACGGAGCCTAGGTCGCGTGGTACATACTTGTTTCAGGAGGCCTTAGTTCATGTTAGGTTAATTAAGGATAGGATCAGGACGACTCAAAGTAGAGATCAGAGTTATGCGGATCAGAGGTGTCGATCGTTGAGATTAGCGACTGGTGAATGGGTGTGCCTCCGAGTTTCGCCCATGAAGGGCGTAATGAGATTTGGGAGGCGGGGAAAGCTTAGCCCCAAGTACATTGGGCCTTTCGAGATTTTGAGGACAGTTGGTGATGTGGCCTATGAGTTAGCTTTACCCCCAACATTCTCAGCTGTTCATCCTGTTTTCCATATTTTGATGTTGCGCCGGTATGTTCCAAATGAGTCTCATGTGCTCCAGTATGATGCCGTTAAGTTGGATGATTGCCTGACGTATATTAAGGAGACAATTGCTATTTTGGCCAGAGATGTGAGGCAGCTGAGGTTTAGAGCCATTCGTGTGGTGAGGGTCTGTTGGAGGCATTGTCTAGTCGAGGAGGCTATCTGGGAGTCCGAGCGGAAGATGCGGGAGAAATTCCTAGCTTATTTGAGACCTCATGTACTTCTTGACTCTTACTTTCGCGGACGAAAGTCCTTTTAGTAGTGGATGTTGTAATGACCCTCTAGGTCATTTCTGTGTTTATACCTTCTTTCCGTCGCTTAAAGCATTTCTATAGCGACCACAACTCAGTTATGACTTGCTGACACTGACAATGCGGTCTCCCGGTCGTTCGTTTGGGTTTTATGCCTTTTTTTCTATTTTGGAGCTTTTGAAACTTGAAAGTTGATTTCAGTCATAACCTTAGGTAAACGACCTCAAATAGGAATTCTAACAGTTGCATCATCTTTAGAGAGGCTAAATTAGACTAGTAGCATGGTTGGGACAAGTTCCGAGGCTTTCGGTGTGACTTTGGGGCCATTTGGGGCTTTAGCCTTTGAATTTTAGCTTAAGTTTGACTTTGGTCAACATTCTTGGTAAACGCGCTCGGATGAGAATTCTGTCAGCGCGGTTGGTTCCCGAATGACGATTTTGGTCTAGAACAACCATTTGTGCGCTTCCCAGGGCTTCCGGTCTTACTGAGAGACGCTGTGGAAATTGGATAAGAATGGCATTTGGGTGTGAGGCCCACTTTTTGTCAAAATGACCTCGTATGGAGATTGTGTCTATGCCATTAAGTCCATATTGTCGAATTTAGGGGGGGAGGGGGCTAGCATATATGGTTTATTTTCACCAGGTCCCGAACGAATTCCGAGGGTCTGTTCAGAGTCTTCTTAAAATAAAAAGTAGCAAAATCTGGTGTTGCTGATGCATACCTTTAGCGACCAGAATTTAGTCTTTTGGCGACTACATTTAGCTTTTAGCGACCATAACTGCTGCTATTTATATAGCGAAAAATCAAAATTTTCCCCATTTAGAAACTTCGATATCTTGAGTTCTAGAGCTTTGTTTTGGGTGATTCGAAGTCCGTTGTGTCCGGGTTTACATTGGCTGGGTGGGTGACCGTCAATAGCGTGTCGGAAAATCTCCGATTGTGGTGTATCTGCATTGTTAGTGGCTGTCCCAAGTCTCTTTTTGTGTAAAGTTTTGCATTTTGGTTTATTGTTGCATGGAGATGTTTTGAGCCCCGAGAGGTGGTCCATTTTGGAAAACTTTCTCGGGGGAGGGTTTAGGACCTCTTCACAGAGTCAATTCCAAAAATTCCAAATCAAGTCCCACATTTTCCTATTTTGACTCTGAAATTAGTGTCTCTGATTTTTATGATGTTAGTGTCTAAATGACTGTGTTGATGCTGTGATTCTATTTTTGATAGCGTGGCAACAACCCGAGGCTATTCGGAATGGAAAAGCTTCGACATAGTGATTTGGGGCGCGATCGGCCTTCAAGTAGGCTACGACTTACTTTCCTTTAGATTGAGCCTGATTGAGTAATTGCATGCTGAATTGTGTGAATTTGTGGTGCTCTGCTAGTATTTCTTCTCTTCTTCTCAAAAAACATGTTGTAGGGTTGGTTTTTTTGTTGTTTCAAGGTTAGTACCATGCTTTTAGAGGGGTTGTTTATCTGTGGGTATTTGTGACTTACCGTTGGGCTGTTTATTTGTCATTGCATGTGTAGTATCTAGTTAGCTTTTTATTTATGTTGGAATTTATCTTTGGCCTTCGTCTAGGATAGACTAGTGTTGCCTTAGACCCATGCACGTGGTTGACTTTGGTATGTATTCGATGTTGATTTGGATGGACTAGGTCCATATAGACCGGCATAGGAATCTTGGGTCTGATAATTGAGCCTAGGTTTGGGATTTTTATTGCTTGTGATCCTTCTAGCTTCTCTTCCCTTTTTTGTGATGCTGATGTGTTATCCGAGGCGTAGTATTTTCCTGGTTATAGTGTTTTGCGATTGGTTTTGGTGTGAGGCAGTTGGTAGTGGACGTTGATCCATGATGGCTTGGAGTTGATTCACCTGTTTTGATGTGGTTTGTAGTAGACGTCGATCCACGATAGCTTGGAATTTGAGATCCTCTACGGAGTTGATTTAACCCGCACACTCTGGCTGACATTGAGCAGGGCCCCCTAGGAGTGATAACTGACTCACCTGGCTGGCATTAGCCAAGGGCCTCGGGGTGATTAGTTGGCTGGGTAGTTGGATAGAAGTTACTTGAGGTCCTCTTCAGAGTTGAAAGGCCCACACATTTTGTCTGACTAGGGTAGGCCCCCAGGAGTGTTAGATGGCATACTTGGCTGGCTTGGGCAGGCCCTTGGAGTGTTAGACTATTGGGTAGTTGGATTAGGGCTCTTGGAGGGGATTGATATACCCCCGCGTAGTACTCACCTGGTTGGGTAATGCCAGAGTTGCTGGCGAGCTAGGTGGCCCGAGATGGAAGTCAGACTTTTTGACTGGGTTAGAGTTGTTGGTTGTGTCAGTTCGTAGTTGGGTTTCCTTTGGGTTTCGTAGTTGTGGCATCTCTATGTACTTGTAGGGCTTATAGTAGTCCGTTCGAGTTCTTTTTGTTTGTGCGTGAGAGTACTTAACCCGTCTTATGAGGGCCTAGCTGGGTTTCGATTAAATATCCTTAGACTAGCTCTCTGATTGTTCTGCTATTATTTCTATTGACATCTGTTCGTGTTTAATTCTATATTTTCCGTCTGTTTTAACCTTTTGCTTAGTCGGCCTATGATGCCTACTGGGTACCTATTGCTTCGGTACTCATGCTATACTCAACATCTGTTTTCGTGATGCAGGTTCAAGCACAAGCTATAAGCGTTGAGGTCAAGCCTGCAACGGTCTATTCTGGAGACGAGGGTGAGCACATGGCGTTCTGGGATTTCCTGTCTCTATTCCGTATTTACATTTTGACTTTCCTTTTTCTTTTTGAGACAATCTTGTTTCTGTTGTCCACTTTTAGAACTTGTACTCTTTCAGTAGTTTCGTACATGTGACTTTCAGGTTCTAGGAGGTATCTTTTGTATATATAGTTTTGGGTTCGCTTCTGCCTTACTCTTATGTGTTTTATTTATTTATGCTTCGCTTGTTGAAGATAGTCCCCCCCAGTCCCATTACTCTCAAGTTTTGGGACAGGGTTTGGCTTGCCTACTGGGTGGTTGATAGGCGCCATCATGGCTTAAGAAATTGGTTCGTGACATCAACAGGAGCAAAGTACATAAATATTTAATTGTGCAGAAGAAGAAGAAGTAGTTTAGAATTTTTGTTGTTTTAAAATGATAGGAAATCCCTCTATTTATAGACAACAAAGGGTAGTGTGATCAAATGCTTATTGTGCCTTATCGGAAAGGACACAACTCTTCGGAAAAGTTACAACCCTTCGAAAAGGTCACAACCTTTCATAAAAGTCACAACTTTTCATAATACTCACAACTCTTCATAAAAGTCACAACTTTTCATAAAAGTCACAACTTTTCATGAAAGGGGAAGACTAATTTTGGAAATAAATAAATTAAAAGAGAAAATACATAAAGTGACTCCTGCAGTTGTCCCGAATTTTCAAAAAGACACCTAAACTATGCAAGCATCCTATTACCCCCCTAAACAATCTCGAACTGATATTATTACATCATTGTTTGTCCACCTGGCATGGAGAGTGTATGCACTCTTATAAAGAGCGTGAAAAAACTAAAAAAATGAATATAATTTTATTTTTACAAGTATTTTTCTATAAAATATATTTTCTTGTTTTTCTTATTATTTTAACTTTTTCTCCTTATTATATTTTTCTTTTTCTTTCTTCCTTCTTCTTCAAAAATTCATTGTCATCTTCATTGAAACTTCTCACTTTCAATGTCACTTTTTACTACAACTCCACCTCCCTTTTTTACTACTATTAGTTTAACTCTCTTCAATTTTAAAATTATATCTAAATATTTATTACATTTCGAACAATTTGATAAACCCATTAGATTTCAAGATGATTAGTAGGTATAATTTAGTTTTTTATCCAAATTTCAATTAAACTTTTTCAATTTTCGTATAATTCTGGTTCTTTCAAAATTATCATTTCTAGTTTTGAAGTTATATGAAAATGAGATAAATTAATTGATGATACCTTCAAAATTTGATTTTTCATAGAAAAATAATTAGTTTTGACTCAACAAAGTCTAGAAAATAGTATAATTTTGGAAAGAAAGGAATTTAACCAATGAAGAAGAAGAAAAAAGAAAGAAAATGGAGGGGCTCAACTTGACATGGAGGTGGGGTGAGGGTGGGAGGTGAAGAAGAAGAAAGAAAGAAAGAAAGAAAGAAAGAAAGAAAATGGAGGGAGGGGTAGCTTGAAAGTAGGGGTGAAAGATGAAGTAGAATTTAAAATGAAATTAGAATTAAAGTAATAAAATTAAAATAAGTCAAAAAGTAAGAGAGAGAAATAAAGAAAAACTATAAATGAAAAAAAAAAATTCAAATTAAATTAACACGTGTCACACAATGATTGGTGTTTGATAACACTTGCCATTTAAAATATGGAATTGATCAAAAAATGATGTAATAATATATGTTCGGAATTGTTTAGGGGGGTACTAGAATGCCCGCATAGTTAAGGTGTCTTTTTAAAAATTCGGGACAACTTCAGGTGTCACTTTATGTCTTTTCTCAAATTAAAAGGGAATCTTGAGCATTTGTTTTTTAGTGCTTGTAGGAACTAACTACAAGTATTGGAGTATGTGTGTGGAAGCATACTTTCAAGGTTAGGATCTATGGGATAATGTTCTATTTTCTACAGGAAAGCCGAACAAGAAGAATGCATCACCATGGAACAAAATAAACTGGAAGAAAAATCACTAAGGGCCATCTAATTGTAAAAACATCACAAAAATAGCTCTAGTAATAAGCCAAGAGAAATCACATTTTCCTATTTAATTAGGGGAACTACAAACATCTCCTACAATTTTTATTATTTCCTCCACTTACTTCTGTAGACATTCTTGGTGTGTGTTCTGCCAATTCCTATCATACTATGTAACACCAACAAAAACAAAAAAAAAGTCATAAAAATTAAGTTTTTGACTGAAAAGTAAATGACTAACCCTAGTTTCTACAAGCCATTAAAAAATAAGTTTTTGACTTTAAAAGTAAATGAATAAACCCCAGTTTCTACAAATCATAAAAATTAAGTTTTTTTTTAACTGAAAAAGTAAATGAATGAATCCTAGTCTCTACAATTCATGAAAATTAAGTGTTTGACTGAAAAAGTAAATGAATAAACCCTAGATTCTACAAACTCATCCAACTAAGCAAAATATTTTGAAATCTTGAATTATTTAAACACAAAGAGAGTTAATTTAGATATCATATTCGCTGCGAGGACATTTTTCGACAGAGTGAATAAGAGCCGCAGGTGCCACCTGTTGCTGTCCACTGCAGGTGTACCTCTAGTAAGCATCTACCATGTTACTCCACTGTGAGAGAGAATAAACTAGTCAATTTCTACGAAACTGAAGGAGGGAAGGGAAAGTAGTGTCCACTTTCAACAAATCTAATGAATTTAAGGAGAGACAAAACGATGAATTGAAAAGAAATATTCGTCAAGCAAATGAGGGATCTACTAAATATGAAAATCTTCTATATTAAAGCAAGCCAAAGGCATGAGAATTTTCCAATTGACAACCTAAAATTAGCACACTTGGCGATAATTGACTAATTAACAACTTATTAACTAATTGTACACATTTGAATACACTTTGAAGATATAAGAATGCTTTTCTTTATTTCTTTACTATTTTTTTTTTGTCTATTTTCTTATTTATGTCATTACTTTTAGTATTATTTTATACATTTGAATACACTTTAAAGATAGAAAAGAGTTTTTCTTTATTTTTTTAAACTTTTTTTTCTCTATTTTCTTGTTTCATATTGTTACTTAAGTTTCATGGTATTAGCACAAAAGTCAAAGATTCAAGATAAGATATTGTTTATTAATAATTTTACGAAATGTTTTTAATGGGTAATTCTCCAATGCTCATTTTCGATATATGTATTTTTTTCATTATTTATGTTATATTTGAATCTGGCTAAAAGAAATTTGTTTAAAAGAATAGTTTATAGATGTAACAATTTAAATAAGTCAGATTCCTGATAAAAACTCTTCTTTTGCCGGCTATTTCTGTTTCAACTACGATAGATAATTATATATCTGTAGTTATTAAAAAAAGAAATTTGATTACACTAATCTTGTAGTAGTTCTTCTATCTCCAAAAGATGATAGTATTTTATGAAGAACTTGTGAACGAGACATATAAAAATTTGCTAGAGTTTATTATAAGAAAAGACATAAAATCACACCTGGAAAATTACTGATATGCAAAAGGTGGGACTTTAATTATTGTTTTATTGTCTTTTTAATTTTCTTGTGTTTTTCATGTTAATTATTATTTGTTTGTTATGTTGCTTTGTTAAGGACTAATAATTGTTGTTCGAGAGGTATTGCCACTAATTGAATACAAAAAAATGTGCAACACATGTTTTTGCAAATTGGGATAAGAACCTAAAAGGAATAAAAAAAGAAAATTGCTTTGGAGGATTTCTAAATCAATATTTGAAGCTGAGTTAAGAATATTATAGAAAACGTAAAAATATTGGGAAGGGGTTGTTTAGATGATCTTTTATGGTGCAACTTGAATACATGGTGTAAGAGATATTTTCAAGATCATAGTAAATGTGATGTTGCATACAACAATATGAGCGAGAGTTTTAATACATGGATACTGCCTGCAAGGTATAAAACAATCATCACAATGTTTGAGGAAATTAGGATGTAGATGATGAAAAGAACTTATGATTTGAAATGGTTGTCAAACACTTGGATCACTAATATATCTACTATGTCTTTGAAGATTTTGCAAGAAAAAATTGAGAAGTCTATAAAATGCAACAATTCTCTCTTGAAATTGGAAAGAGGTTTTGTGATTAAGCATTATTGTTTTACACATACTATAGACATTGTTAGTAGGAGTTGTAGTTCTATATTTTGGCAACTTTGAGGCATTTCTATCCTTATGGTATTGTTGTCATTCATTACAAAGTGTTTGAACCAATCAACTATGTGGCTAGCTATTATAGCAAGGAGACCTACCTCATCACATATGCCCATTTTATTCTGTCAATGAATAACATGAAAATGTGGCTAACATCAAGTAATTCAATTGTGAAGTCACCAAAGATCAAGAAGTTGCATGTAAGACCAAGTAAGATTAAAAGAAAGGAGGCAAATGAAAATAGAAAAACTGAAAAGATTAGCAAATATAATACGGTTAATAACTTGTAGCAAATGTGGTATACAACCAAATACACTTCATAACTTTTCTAAATAACTATTCCGAAAAGATAAAACAACAAGCAATAAGACTGAAGTATTAGAATTAGAGAGCTATATATTATCAGGAATGAGGAATATTTGAATTCAACATTTGCTTATATATATATTGTTGTCGCACTATGAAGAATTTTGTGATAACTACGTTAGTATTTAAATTGAACATTTTCTTATATTTATTATCGTTGTGGAAGGTTTAATTTATTCTTCCTTTAAAAAACTTTCTTCACTTTGGTGAAGCAAGCACTTCGCCTCACTCAAAACTGAAGAAAGGCATTGTTGCTTTTTCCACTTCATGCTCCCTTGAACACTAGTTAAAACTACCTACCCTAAATTCAAACTCTCTTGGACTGTCACCCTTTATCATCATCTATCCATTATGGTCAAAATCATTTCCTATCTTACACCACATCGTAGGTGTCAATTTTTCATGATGAAGGAATTCTTGCTCACGTCCAGGTGCAATGTGATGGAATCCTATCCCTTTTTTGGTTAGTTTTACACTGACTATCAACCTTAATGGGATATTATAGGTTCACCACTACTAAATAAGCCAATAGACCAAAAAGGGCCATATAATTGTATAAAGACCACAAAAAATAGCTCTAGTATTAAACCAAAAAATCATATTGCCC